ATCTCTCGATACAAAGAAAGATTAGCTTGAGGTTTCAAAAAATAATATGGTCTCAGCTATCATGAAACTCAACCTAGTTGCTAAATCACCAATAATTTAGCTTTTTCTAACAATTTCCCTCCATTTTCATTGGTCAATTCTCCAACTTGATGTAGCCAATGCCTTCCTACATGTACATCTCCATGAAACTATCTACATGGCACAACCAAAATATTTTTAAGACTCCCAAAATCCAAATAATTTTTATCTTTTAAAAAAGCCCTCTATATATGGCCTTAAACAAGCTCACTGTCAATGGTTTGCAACTCTATCCAACTATCTCACAACCCAAGGTTTTAACTCTAGCTCTGCTAACTCTTCTCTCATGATATAGAACTCTATCCAAATATATTTACTCATTTAAATTGATGATATTTTAGTCACCGGAAATGATCAAACCTTCATCTCTTCTCTTCTTCATAAACTTCAACTCCATTTTCATATGCAAATTTAGGAACCTTTTCTTGGTTCGTTGGTATTGATGTATATCTATCCAACTATGGCTACCATTTATCTCTTTTTTTTTTTTTTGAGAGAGAGATGCAAATTGCATAAAACAAAAAAAAAAACTATTACAAACTAAAGCAGAAAAAAACTAATAGCAATCCTTTCAAAACAAAGCGAAAGGAAGCCTTTATTAAAAAGAAAATTAAGCAAAATAAGAATATTTGAAAGATATGAAATTCCATAAAGGAAATAAGATCCTCTACTAGATATTTTAAACCAATTCGGGTGGAGGGGATACCAAAAATTAAAACAATCAAAAAAGTTGATTAGTATCCTAGAATTCTCGATTAAGTAAAAAATAAAGAATAGAAGATTCTTAATTCTCAATTTTTTATCCCCATCTTTCAAATACCCACAAAAGCTTAATTTAAAACTGAAATAAAACATAGAAAAGCAATTAATAAAAGAAAAAAACATAATATGTAAGCAATGATCTTCAGGCTTGCACCACCATTAGATCTTCACAAACTCGACCAACTTCATACAAACCATGCTTTGAATATCATGATACGAATCCATCCATCCGTTCATCTATAGAATTCCAAAGTTCTCCAAGCCTTTATTCCATTTCTTTTGATACTTACCATTATCACCCATCATAATCTTATTTATGAGATAAATGGTGAGGTGCAACCAACACTTTCACTAAGACTCCCCAATTTCCTTCCTCTAAGGCTGCCTTTGATTGACCCAAAAGAATTTAAATCTTTATTAAATTTCTTCTTATAATGAATTGTTTTATTTGGAAACTGAAATTTTCCATCTGAAATTTTCCATCATCAATTTCATTATCATTCACTTTCTTTAAAATATCCTTAAGATTAATCTCAACCGAATAAGGATTTTCGGAATCTGGAAACAATATTGGCATCATCTTCAACAGCCATGGCATTGGGATCTTCTCCAACATTATCTTCTTTGATAACTTCTAACTTTTCCTTTTAAAAAAACTCATCTTGATGAATTGAAATGTTAATTCCTTTAGTCATAACATCAGTTCTTCCAGAATTTTGAACCAATACTCCGTCTTCAACTGGAACAGCCTCTGAATCATTAATCTGTTCTATAACTTGAATTGAATTTCCCAAAACCATTCCTTCAATATTTGCATCCATAGCATGCAAATTGACTTGATTAACTTCAACAGGAGTTCTAACTTCTTCCATTTATAATATATTTCCAATCTCAGTGCCATGAGATAGAACATTAAACTTATTAGAAGTTTTTATATGACCATGAGAGGAGTAATCCTCATTGTTCCCAACCGAATGCTGAGCTACAGATTTCTGGTTTTGGATTCTCTTCAATCTTTTAAACTTCACATGCATCCAAGGGCCATATACATTTGAATCTTCACTAACAATTTCTTCTACACCCAAAGCTTTATTCCCATAATTAAGAGCTTCCTTCTGAGTATTAATTTGATCTTCTTTCAGAGTTTCCATGCACCTATCAACATTATGGCCTATCTTACCACATTTGAAACATAAAAATGAGATTTTTCTCATACTCAACTTTTTGGAAAAATTTACCATATAAACCCTCAATCCAAACTCCGTGAGATAGTTTAGAGTCTAGATTGATTCGAACACATGCTCGTGCAAATTCTCGTCTTCCCCATTTAAACATTTTCCCATCCAAGAACATTGGAACTCCTATCTTTGAAACAATCTTTGTAACATTAACCTCATCCCAACAATGTAAAGGCAAATGAGGCAAACGTATCCAAATCGTAGAAAATAAACCTTTTAATGAAGTTGGAGAAAATTGAGGTGTCCATTTATCCATCCCTATTATATGTCCACCCACAAACCAAGGACCTCCACTAAGCACTTCTTCCATAATTTGAGAAGATTTAAATAAATGGACACAAAATTCAATCAAGATCCAATGAGGTGAGGTGAAATTTTCCAAATATGTTCCATTGCCTCCTTAACTCAATACTACAAAGAGAAAAAGGAACTCCTCTCCCAAATACTTTTACAATAAGAGATTTCTAAAGTTGTTTAACGTTCTCACATACCTTATCCATATTCAGCTTTACCACATTTTAATCTACCTCATCTTCAGAATCTTGATATCTGTAGTTCACTTTAATATGATTGGTCTCAACCCAATCATTAACCAATCCAAACATGCTGTTTCGGGAGTTGGAAAAACATTCATACCCTTTTGCATAAACCTTCCTTCATCTGTTCTCAATTCTTTATCTTGAGTTATCTTATCCGAATTCAAATTCAAGTTCATTGAATCCTATTTTTCCGCATTACATTCAACAACAGATTGGTTAGCAAATCTATTAACCTTTAATTTGAAATTGATGGATGAAGAAGCTTCCAAGTCATTAGCAGACTGCAAATCCTTCTTCAGGGGAGAAGGAACATTTAAATCCTTTTTCTCAATATTATCTAATAATTTCTTTCCTTTATCCATCACCAAGATGTCCTCACGCACAGGAATTACACATCTTTCATTGATGATCAGAGGATGCAGATTAATCAACCCTTCCCAAAATGAAACGACTCTGCTTTTGGATCAAACATGAATTGAATCATTAGGATGCCGCACAGAGAAAGGAATAGAGGTATTCTAGTCATCATCTGCCGATGACCGGCGACCCTCCACCACCATTCAATCAAACCAAGAATTGAGGACCTGAAATAAAATTAAAAAAAAAAACTCAAGCTTTCTCTCTCTAAAAACCTGGAGTCTCTCTCTCTAGCAGTCGCCACTTAAAACCTTCATTTTTACAAAAATCTAGATCTTTTATCTCAAACACCTTTTATTCTGGATCTTTTGCAAAAAACTGGAATGATAAACTATAAGCCACTTTATAATCATTTATCAGCAAAATCTCCCTTAATGCCTACATTATAGCAACCCTTCCACAATCCATCTGTTTTTAGACAATTGGCCGAATCCCTTCAATTCATCACCTCCATAAGGCCAGACATATCCTTTGTTGTTAACAAATTTTTTCAACATATGCACAGTCCCTTGGATTGCCTTTTCATTTTCCTCAAACACATTCCTAGGTATTTGAGGGGTACCTTATCCCACGGCTTACTTCTCTAGCATGGTCCCTTTAAACTAAATGCATTCTCTATCTCCGATTAGGCTGGTGACAACACCGATTAGAAATCTACTACCAGTTTCTCTGTTTTTCTTGGATAAGAACTTATTTCCTGCTGTGTAAAAAAATAAACCACCGTTGCTCATTCCTCTACCGAAGTTGAATATAGATCCCATGCGGCAAAAACTGCATAACTTATTTGGCTTTGATGCCTTTGCCAAGACTTCTCCATCAAACTGGATACCACCTCCCTTTATTGTGACAACATCTATGCTTTATCTATTGCCAACAATTTGGTTTTTCACGCGCGCAGTAAATATGTTGGAAGAGATCATCCATGAAGTCATCAACTTGAAGCTCATCTGCTTTCAACACATTTATACAACTGATAAATTTGCAGACATATTCACCAAGTCGCTACAAAACTCTATATTTATTGCTCTCAGTTTGACAGTCTGTTCTCCAGCACAACTTGAGGGGCGGTAGGCATAGATTCGAACCCTAGACCTCTTAGTTGGAAACCTAAGCTCTCAACCAATAGGCCAAGGAGAGTTGTTTGTCTCCAACTTCTTCCATCATTCACCTTTCCAATTGCTTTGCTATACTGCCGCAGCAGTCTGCCCATTTCAGCAACAACATTCTCTACTTTACCTTGATCAAATCATCACTGTAGCTACCAGTGGCATTTCTATATTTAACAACTTACCTTTACCTCTTATATATAGCTGTCACTGCACACATTGAGCATTAATGAAATCAGATATTCACAAATGCATTTCTCTGCACTTCTCTTTAGTTCATCTGCTGTAGGTAAGCTTTCTAGTTATTTCTTCAAATCAAGCTTTGTACTTGGTTATGAATTCTCAATATAGTAAGATATCTACAAACTACCTAAACTTATTTAAATTTACAATAAATATTGGTTAAGCATTGCTCTGTAATTTTATTTGTATTGTTTAAACTTCAAATTTGTTGCAACATTTGTGCTTCTACTGAAAATAAGGGTTAAAGAAAATTTGCTTGACATATTCAATTAGTCATCATTCGTATACTTTATAATAATTTAGTGAGCTTAAAGCTTGTCTCTTTCTAAATTCTTTTTCTTTATGAACTTTTTTCTCTTGCCCTCTACTCATTCTTCTTAGTAAGATTTTGATATCACCTAAGAATAAATCATGACCCTACAATATCAACCATTTTACACAAAACCACAAAACAAAATCAAGCAGAGAGTAAACGAAACTAGATCGATTTGTTTCTACCGTTAACTTCAAACTTTTGAATTTATGGTCGTTATGCACTGCTTTTTCTGCCTACGCCTAATTTGGAAATAGCTAATTCCACTCGCAATGCAGAAGTTTTGCAGTAATTCAACCTTCAATTCAGAGCCCAAGCACAAAATAGTACAATACTAGAAAAGAGCCTCATCCAAGGCCTCAAACCCGACCTGTTACAAAGATAGATTACCTAACAGCTAAATAAATAAAATATCACAATAACATTTATCTTTCCTCTCATCCTTCCCTCCACTCCTGTTCTCCCCCATTTCTTTCCCACTGTGACACCTCCAATACTGTTGTCAAATTAGTGAAAATTATCGAAACAGGCCTATAGATATTGCGCCTGTATCCGTTCTCTGTTCTCCTCCCACCACAACTTGGCGTGTACTTCTCCAAACCTTTCTCGGCTGCGAAGAAGCAAATGGAATCAGTATAATATAAATTTGATATTGTTAATAGTGTATACAGCCAACAGTAACTACTATTCAGTAAGTGCAGATTTGTGTCAGTAGCACCGGCCACTGGTTCGCATAGGGCCAGATGGGATAAGATACTTCTTTCTACCTTTAATATTACCATATTAAATAGAAACAATAAGATTCCAATTCAATCAAAGTGACTTGTGGTTTAAAAAGAAAGGAATGTTACATCAAAGAAATAATTAAATTTTTTCAGTCAAAAAAGGATTGAGAATGGATAAGCAGAAGAACAATGGGTGAGCATGAACATGTGATGCAATATTAAATTATTACGATAAAAAATTTGAACCAATGAGGAGACAAACATATCTACTCTTCTACCTGTGTTCATATAAAATAACAATAGAAAAAGACAAATTTGTCGTCATTAGCTCATTGTAAATTCATAAATTTATTCCGTTGACGAAATTTGTGCTAATTTGTTGAAATTATTCAAAAAAAGTTGCATTCTTTGATAAATCATCATTACAGCAAACGTCAAACAATCACAATTTCAGCAATTTTGGGCACAAATTTCAGTCTCTTTCCATCTTGAATAAAGAAAAGTTTGGGGAAAGATACGATCGAATTTGCATTTTGATGGATTTAAGAACTTTTAAATTTACTATGAATTATAATATTTTTAATAAATTAAAAAACTTTTAAGCTTATCATAAGATAATTAAGTTACGACAGAATATTTTTAATGTAATTTTGTTTTTTCCTTTGAATATTATCCCAAGAACAAAAAACAGTGGAGAGGGCAGTGGAAAAACAGGAATTTTGGGAACCTGAATCTGACGCGACGAAGCTCTCGGGCACCATCAGGCAGCTCCCGAATAGTTATATAAACGCCCGGCTCATCCTGCTCCACCCACTCCGTCGCCTCCTGATCACTAGCATTGCTTATAGAGATAGAGGCCGCCTCATCTCTCGACGAAGTAGTCGTCCTCGACGCATCCACCGACGATGTCTCCGCTCTCACCTGCCCCGCCACCGCCCCGCTGCTACTGCCACTTGGCCTTAGATGATGAGGCATTATGTACTCCGACGGGTCCGGCACCGACGGCAAGTAAGCTCCACCTCCTCTGCTTGAAGTTGACGGCGGCCGGAAACCGGTGCGAAGTAGCCGGTCCCGGCCCAGTGGAGGGGTCACTGGACTCTCCCTCGTAGAACCAGTCCGGGAATAGAACGACTCCCTTTGCTGAAAAGAAGCTCCAATATTATAAAACTAAAAATTAACCTCTCCAATCTAAGAATTCCTTTACAGTAATCAGTCATTTATTGGAGGCCAAAACATTCAGACATTCAATTCACTCTTCTTTTATTAAATTACATAATAGATTTGGACGTTCTTAAATTTATATTAAAATTAATGATTATATATAGATACTATGAATTATTTTAATTTCAATATAAATTAAAGATATGTTAGTTATTTAGGATATAATGATAATTTTTTTCTAAAAAGCTATATTAATTGTTAATGAAGAAAAATAAAAAAAATGTTAATACGAAATGAATGTTTACAGTTCATAAAAATGTTTTGTTTATAAGAAATGATAAATACCTCACCGCCGTCGTCGGAGCGGGGGGGTGTAGGGAGAGCTTGTCTACTGAATTTCTGCACGTTGTACAGTTCCATTATCCTGTCGTAGTTCTCGCCCCACCACCGCTGCGCCTGCCACTTGTTGAACATCTCCCGGCTTTTTTTTTTTTTTTATATATATATATATATATATCAGTTTAAATCAATGTAGTTTTTGCATAAAGGACAACATAAGAAATTAATGCAATACATTGATTTATATATATATCAGTTCAAAGGACAACCTCACGAGGACAGATGCCCTCAAGTAAACTAATATGTATTATAATCTCTAATTAAAATTCTTAAAAATCAAGAGTACTTTAAATCAATGTAGTTTTTGCCTAAAAACAATTAATACTAAATAATTATAAGCCAGCAATCACGAGTTGAGAAAACAAAAGAAATAAAGAAATCATGATCAATAAACCTGAATCTAATTCGCTTGAGATCATTGCCAGCGCCGCCAGGGAGTGAAAGAAAGGTAATGTGGACTCCTGGTTCGACTTGCGCAATCCACTCCTTGGGCTCACCATCCCCATCATCCTGCAAAGGAACATCCTTCTCTCCGGCTGCTGCTGATATGCCGGAGCCGCCGGGGAGTACCCACTTTGCTCTTGCTCTGCCATCAGTTGACGTTCCCGGCTCCGAATTCCTCACGCTCGTAAAGTCCCACGCCGGCGTCGAGGTCGAGCTCGTGGGACCGAGGTAGGTGTAGTGGCCGTCAGCGTCGTAATCATCCATGACAGGGTAGCGATGGTGGTGATGTGATTTTGAGCGGAAGGACGTGGCGCTGCCTCCCTTGCATTGACGGTAAACGCCGGAGAACTTTAGCACCATGTCTTTTAGCTGCGGGTTGTTCAGAGTTAGATGGTTTAAACGTTCTAAGTTAAAGCCTTGATTTTGAATCCAACTTCAAATTCATAGAATATGGAGAGTTGAGCATAAGTTTATAATCAAATTATTTTGACATATAATTTAATAAAAAAATTAATTAATTTCTTATGTATTGTACTCAAAATTTATGAACTATTTTGACTAAACTTTACGATTCAACATTTTTCCTATTGGAAATCATGATACATCACAACATGCAAAATATGTTGGCCTCATTCAATTTAATAGATCGATAATGACTCACCATTAGCCCTACCAAATTATAATTAAAATTTAAATCCTAATAGCATATTTTTATTATTGAAGATGGGTAGAAAACAAATTAATATCGAACTGTAAAAACATTCTAGAGAATATATCAAATTCAAATTAAAAAAATTGATTTGATTTCCTATCACTTTCAACAAATCATGATATACACATTATTAATAAAAAAATTGCAGCTCATTGGTTAAGAATGTTAACAATCAATCTAAAGATTTTGAATTTAAAACTTTATATATATATATAATGTGCATAAATTTATAATAATTAACTCAAAAGTGTAGGAAAAAAAATAATGAATGGGCAAATAAGAAATTTGTCTAATATATTCATATATTTTTCTCTATAATTAATAATCATAATAAGAAAAATAAAAGAAAGATGATGGAAATATTCTGGTGGAGGCTAAACCGGCGCGTAGGCCAAAAGGAGACGACTGCTTTGCCAAAACTGGGCAAACAAGCGGCCAACACGACGCGACTCTGGCTACATGTTGGCACATATTGCGATGATCACAGCTCACTCCTGTTACTTTTCGTCATCACTTCTTACACGAATTTACTGTTCTAAGGAAATAAATATCACTTTTAAATAAAAAACGTCAAAATTTTATATAAGGTTCATGTTAAATAGACGAATGAATTAAATACTTTACAACAAAAGAAATTGTCGGGTTTTCTTGTTTTGAAGCATCCACAGCCAGATCTAAGGAGCACACAAATTAATGGTAGAGAAAAATAATCCGTAAAATTGAATGCTACAGCTAAGACAAGTAGGACCGTAAAGGGAGAGTAGCGGCGAAATGGAGTGAACGAGAGCAATAAATGGTTTAACTACTCTAAGGCAGAACACAGCTCTCTGCTTCAACGGACTGTTTCCAAGGTCATTACAGTGTGCAGATAGAGTACACAGAGCGGCTGGTAACAGAGTAAGAGATATGGTCGCTAATTTCCCTTTTTGTCCTTTGCAATGCAGTAACGATTATTAATAAGCTATTAAAAATCCAACGGTAATATCATAATATGTCAGTCCTAGAAAAGAGCTGGTTTACTTTAAACCAGTAGAATACGAATAAATGCTGATTTAACTAATCATAGAGCAAATAATAATAATAATAATAATGCTTATATATTTTGAAGTTTAAAACTCTTATTTAAGCTAACTACAAATTATGCTGACGATAACTAAATGCACTAAGTTTTTTAATGATTTATAGCTCTGATTATTGATAACATCTTAATTAATAAAAGAATAAGCTCCAATTAAGTCGTTTAACAATCACCATGCCAATTAAGATAATTTTTTTTGGAAATAATTTCAGCTAACTTTCAGTCCCACATAGAGAGAGTTAAAGGTGGTGTGGCTTAGGAAACAAGATGAAGGTGTAGTGGCTTTGTTCTTTGCGTGGAGCAAAACCTTGTTTCATCCAAGGGATCTCTTTTACAGCGCGCTCCTTTTAAAAAAGACTCTGGACAGAACCTTACGAGCTGGTTCTTTTCTTTAACGCAAAATAGAGTGGTAATAATAAAGTTGTGCAAAGGAGAAGAATTAATATTTTTTAATAAAAGGCATGAAAGATATATGGGGACAATCAGCAATCACATCTCCGATCCCCCCCAACTCCTTTCAGACGAGCAAGCAAAGCAAAAGAAGGGAAAGCACCCACACACCAACAGTGACTGCAATGCTGAGTCTGCTCTGCCTGAGCTCATAGATACCTGCGCCTCTCAGGGAATGACAGAAAGGCAACACCATCGTCCTCCCTTCACTTGACCAACTTTGTTTCGGTTGGACCAGTGGCAAACACCGTAATTACCCCCATTTTTAAGTACAGGTGTATCCTTTTTCACGTGCAAACTAGTGATTAATCTATCAACATCTAACGCACTCAAAACACAAAAATGGAATTATGTTTAGTTTATATGGCGTGCTTAACATGATTAAGAACTACTCGCATTCAATTGGCTGATATGCTTAGTTATTTTTCTTTAGGAAGAACCCTAAACTTTTATTTTTATTTTATTCTTAAAACAAAACTTTTTAACACTTTTACTAAGGCTGAGTTTGGATTATGGAATTTACATGAAGGGGAATGAAGGAAATGAAAAGTTAAACTAATTTGCAGTAAAAATTAACAAATATAACTATGATTAGATTGGAAGAAGAATTTTTTAAAGAAAGAAACCTTACATAAATACTTGATAATTTACTCGGACAAAACTGTCACGACTCAATAAAAAGGACATTTTTTTAACTAATTACATCAAGAAATCTCTCACAGAACAAGAGAAATCTTTATCTAAGCCTTTTATAACATAAAATAATATTTTTGCAAATTACATGTGATCGTTGAAAGTATAATTGAGATGTGTGGAGTAGAGATAGAACTATGAAGAGCTTAGGATGGGCAATTGCATACTTGAAATTTTATTTATTTTTTTATTAGAAAAATAATCATTTTAACTATTTTTCCCATCTTCAATAATTGCAAATCCTCAAATTCTCAAAAATGAAAAACCCCTTTGCATTTCATACATAAAATTATACATTTCACAATCTTATTTTGTTCATCCCAAAAAAGAGGCTGGTTCATCCCCTAAGCATGCAAAGCGATAGTTTAGAAGTGCAACAAATATTCAATTATTCTTCACATAATGGTTATAGATTTATGATCAACTTACTAACGGTTTGGATACATGCAATAAAAAAAATATGACTACCAAATATTTTTTAAGTAATGTAGTGTTAAAGGGTGTTATGCTATGAAAATCAAACATCAAATTTTAATGTATTTTTAACTGGTTATGAAGACTTATCAATAGATTTTAGAGTTAATTAGTTATTTATTTTTGTTAATGTTAGGCTCAAAAAAGAATACTTTAGCCAAATATTACCTCAAGCTTTCATTTGGGACCGCTTCATAATGATTTTTAAAGCATTTTTTAGCTAGAAAATTAAAAACTACTTTAGAAAGCACTAAGAAAATCATTTCAAATGAAGCCTTAATTTTTTTAAATTCAACATAAACATAACTGTGCAGGAGTTAATTTGAGAGCAAATGCAAAAATAAAAATTTGTTTAACATGTAACAATTAAGATGCAATAAATATTTTTATACTCTTTTTTTATAAAAAAAAAATATTTTTTAATAGTTAAATGTAGAAACATTAATGCATATAGACATCTATTTCGACCCATAAATTATAGACGCCAAAGAATCCAATAGACTAAAGCTTATTTTATAGTTAACTATCTATTTGTTTTTGTTATTGTTATGCTCATTAATGAATAATTTAGCCAAATATTTACTTATTTTTTAAAAAAAATTCAACATAAATATAGCTGTGTAGGAGTTAATTTCACGACATATGCAAAAACAAGTTGTTTAAAATGTAACCAATAAGATGAAATAAATATTTTTATAATATTTTTTATAAAAAATATTTTTTCGTAGTAAAATGTAAAAACATTAATGCATACATACATCTATTTCGAGCCATAAATTATAGATGCTACATAAATTATAGATGCTAGGATTTCTTAATACTTTCTAAAGTAATTTTTCATATAAAAATTTATATTCGTAAAAAAAAAAGTTTACTAAAAAAATTGTTTTAAAAAAAAATAAAATAACCATATCAAAAGAAGCCAAAATTAAAGCCGAATCAAAAAGAAAAGAGCAGAAATGAAAAACAAATGCTGCTGCTAATAATAATAACAACGATCTGGTGACCCAAAGAAAAAAAAAAAAAAAGTTAGCTTATCTGTGGGTAAAACTAGCCAGTGATATGGGCCCAGTCCAGGGGTTGGTCGTTTTCGAGCCTTTGCGTTTGGTTCACTTTTTTTTCAAAACTCGACCGGGTCCAATGATGGTCCTTCCAGACATGTCCCCCCACCTCACTTTACTTTACCTTATTCGAGCATTGCAGATTAAGGATTGCTACCTATCTATCTAGAATCTATCTATCTATCAAAGAGAAAGAAAAACAAAGATGCAGAAGATTTGCAGAGAAGCGTGAAAGGCAAGAGGGGTGGGTCGAACCTGAGAACTCAGGCTTTTGACGGCGTCTTTGTTGCTTGGTGTCCCCGCACGCGCGGTATCCTCCCCGCCGTCCTCCAGCTCCGGCTTTGCACATGCGATGCACGCCAGCATTTTCGCGCTCCGTTAAACTCACCGCTCGCGTTCGCCTTTCCAATTATACCCCCCCTAAGCTGATTCACAGAGCTGCCATTTATCAGAATAAGAAACAAACATGCACAGGGGAGAAGTAAATTCGAAAACATATTCAGATTTATAGGTCAGCAGAAAACCAACAAATTTCAGGCATAAAGAACTCATATATGCATCAACTCGTTCTTATCATAAAAATCATATATGCTCCAATATAATTCTGTCAAATTTCTGATTCCCTTCCTTCACCCTAAAGTATAAAAGAATAATTCTATTAAAGGGTAAATGAGAAATAAATTTTATTTTATTAAATAAGAACATACATGTTTTAATCAAATTACTTGAACAAGGATTTAATGTTCTTTCGAACGTTTTACAGATTTGTTTTCTTATCGGACCACATCCTATATGTTGGTATTTTGTGTTGAAATCAAGAAAGATTTTCTTGATAAAATTTTGGATTGAAATTTCCGTAACATTTGTCCATAAGAGTAAGCGGAGAAGGAGAAAAAAAAAACAATTGAAAGTTTCGATTAATAAATAATGACTCAACATAAAATGCAGATGATCGAAATACACGAATAGGGAATTAGGGAAAATAAAGAGAGATTCTGAAGAAGGCCTACAGGCTTCAAGTTGCTACAGGACCGGCAACAATCACTGTTGAGTCGTGCAGCTGATCGGAGCATTGAAAAGACCAGCTGCCATGAGTATTGAGTATTTAGTCCAGCGCCGAGTCTATTGCCGTCGGTTGTAGCCTGCTCCGGGAAGAGATGGTTGAGGCCCGAGGTAAGATAGAGAGAGAGAACTTCAAATGGTCCAGCGGTAGAGTTAGAAGATTTGGTAACGGGGCCGATGAGTCAAGGGAATGTCTGTATATATAAACTGAGGGGCAAAATATGTTTAAAAGCGAAAGCTTGGCCGATGTGATCGGCTCTTTGCAGGCTGTAGTAATATCTCAACATTCTGGGGGACAGCACAGTCATTCGAGAAAATGAGATTAAATATTGCGGGCAAGGGCATGAGGCTATGATTTTAAAATAATAAGTTAAAAAAAAAAAAAAACGAAAACCAAATGCCGATTCTCTCGTTTCGGTAGTAGGAAATAGAAAATGGATGATTCGCTTAAGCCGGAGACGAGACAAAGGCTGGAGCTAAGACTAAAGAGGACAGAGCGGGTGGGAAGCGGACAGGCGACAGGAGAGCCCCCACTCGATTCCATTCCAGGATTCGGGGGTTCCATGGAATTTAAAATATAACAAATATTTTATTTTAAAGAGTAACACTTTACACTCAAAAAAAATAAAAATAAAAAAGTTCTAGATTATTTTGAATGCGTGTGCCAAATGAAATTTTAAAGTGTTATTTTATTAATATTTGTTAGATCAAATTGTTTAAAGATAAATATACATCTTTATGCTAATTCATTTAATGAGTGAAGCCTTTTTCATAATAATTATTTTGATAAGGTGCTAATAACAGTTATTAAATTAAAGAATAATTTCTTTATTTATATTGTATGTCATTAAAAACATGTTATTATGCTAATCTATGTCAACCATCACATTCACACACCTTGTATACTTGATAAAGGAACTTACATCTAGTGTGACACATAGTTGAACTTTCCTGATGATTTGGAGGAGTTAGTCGTCTAGGATTCACAGGAGAACTTGCCTAATGACCAGTAGATGTTATTTGCCAGGGCCTACACAATGAGGTCGTCCCTGATATGATATGATCATGATTCCTCACAAATCAATTATCTTGTTACTCGCCACACAATAAATCAACCACTAGGGTCACTCAGTATCATCCAGAGTAAGAATTCTCATTCAGGCTCGTCAAGCTCGACTACGAGAAAGGGCATACTCATGATGTCCTCAGTTCATCCTACTGCGACCATCCAACTTAGAACTCTTCCTTCCCACAACAACAATTCACTCCCATCCCTCTTTAGGAGATATAATGCCCCAATATAGGTCGCTGAAAACTCTAGCAAGCCTATTAGTTACATGCCCCCTTAGCTCTGCATTTGTTTATGGACTAAGCCAAGCATACTCGCCTGAACCTACACAACACTACCAAACTCTGCCATAAACATATCATCAAAGCGATACAACACTATTCCCTTCAGCTTTTCAGGAGGCAACATAAGCCTAGGGTAGTTTGTACTAAGAGTCATTTAAATCAATGTAATTTTTTTATTTTATTTTGTAGATGGTTACATTCTTTTAGCTCTTGGATCTCTATAAGAAAAAAATAAATATGAGCATTTTAATCTTTTAACTGATTAAGATTATGAGCATCTTATGCACTTATTATAGTTTTTCACTAGTAAACTGCTTTCTCTCCATTCTCAAATAAGTTATAGGTCATCCTTATAGAGTTCATATGCTTGTAACGGCGGGTGTCATCCACTAACATATGAGGATTTAATATCTCTAAGTTGATATAAGCATTAATTATTTCTAATAATTAGAAGACTTTCCCAACTTGATAAGCCTAGTAACCATGAATTATAAGTGAACATGTAAAACCCTAACTAAATCACTCATCAAGACCTAATGGAAATTGAAGAGAGACTGAATAAGTTGATTCAAAAAGTATTAGGAGGGTTGCCCAAGTGTGTTTAACGATAGAACATCTTGAGGAATCTTATGACCTCACAACTCATCACAGGAGGCCGAACAAAAGATCCTGATGCTTTATCAAGGGAGATTGTTAAGGTTAGGTTAGAAAGTTTGTGAAGGTTATGAAACCTTAAAGAACCATCCCAAGGCTAACCAAATGAGGGGTGAATTTGTTATTTAACATTTTTTTTAATAAGAAGAAAATCTTTTTATAACTTTTTCAATATCTAAAAACATACAATTTTATCACTTGATGCAGAATGAATTAATTTCACAATAGTAAAAAGATCAAAGTTTTTAACCACATAGTTAATCATAGGAAAAATAAATTACGAAAAATAATAAAAATAAACACACCAGAATTTATAGTGGCTTCAAAAAACCTGACCTATGTCCACTCCTCAAAAACCTCCATTCCGGGTATTACATTAAAATTACTATCCCTCCTTTTTCCCCCACAACAAGATAGAGAAGTCTGTACAAAATCACTTTCACTAATATGGTGCAACGAAGAACCAAAAGCTTTTTACACCCCCCAGGTAACGACAACATACCTCGAAGCTTTTTATTTTTATAGGATAAGGTAGAGTATCTTGAATCCATTTTCATCCTCCAAGTGATACAAGAAAACCACGGCTTAGTGTTGTAGAATATCTCCTTGAAGCCACCAAAGAATCAAGGCAAAAACTTAAATAAGATGTGCAAGAACTTTGCTTGGAGTAACCTTGTGAATCCCTCATAACTCTCCCTCACTAAAAGCTCTCCCTCTCTTCTCTCCCAAAGCTCTCCTAAACTCCTTCGCTATGCTCCCTCTAAAAACACTTAGTAGCCAAAATCTTCTTGAAACATGATAATATGAGAGTTTAAATTGAGAGCCTCTCAAGAAGCCCTAAATATCAATCTGTTGTTTAAGATTGTCTAGTAAGATCCTGCGACTATCCTTTATGATTAGTACAAAATAACCCTTTTAGACAGTATGAAATGTATTGTCCAGTATGATTAATTCAAGAGTTTTTATTAATCTTCAAGTACAATAGGCAATGATAAATTATCATCCCACGTAGCTCTCGGTTCGTACAGTATAAAATTTGGGGGTCATCCTATATGATTAGTTGCAAAAGTATAGTATTTCATCTTGTACGATAGGCAACAATAAATTATCATCTCATGCATCGCTTGGGCCATACAATACAATCATCACCAATCATCATGTCTAATTTAATCAAATAAATTAACCATAATTATTATCCTAATCACACATTCAATTTAGGCATGACTGTCATGTAATGTACAATACGATATATTTCATATGGTACGATTAGAAAAAAATTTAAAATTTTAAATATTGCCAAAATTATGATTGACGACTGCTTTCATGATTATAACTAATCTTCTTGTACGATAAGGATCATTTAGTACAATTAGCTTAATCAATCTCAATTAACAAAAGTGCCCTAACTAATGATTTTTTTTGTTTAATTGATTATCCAATTTGATGTAAATTGCACAATACTAAATGAATGTAAAAAATCCATTCACATCACATCATCAAATCATATGAAAAGAATGTAAATGGTCATGTGTCAAATCCCACTTAATTATTATATGGTATGTAGAAATTAAAAGTGGTCGAGCATCACTAACAATAAACCTGGATTCCAATCTTGATATTGATGCAAGTTTCCAAAAAGGGATATTTTATTATTTGCAGCCTTCATGTCTTAATCGTCTTCCTTTCTTTGAGCTCATTGGTTTGCCAAATTCATATACCCAAATGAAAATAACTCTTCCCCAATGGGGTGTTTCTTTCCTCTTTGGATTTTAAGCTTATCCTAATTTGAATTTTAAATGAAAGAAGATCTCCCTAAGGGATGTCTCCTTCCTATTTAGACATCAAATTGCATACTCTAATATCCCATTTTAGTTTACTTTCTCAACTCATGAATTTTAAATTACATATGAAAAAAATAACTCTAATAAAATTTGCATGGTTATCCTAAGAAGTTCATATATAAATTCATCAGTTTCATAAGCATTTATAATATCATTGCTCATATTTGAGCCAACATAATCCTTTGATCATGCTCTTTCATTTAAGAGGGTTTATCTTATTTAGCACCTATAGAAAATTAATTATTGAAACATTTTTTTAGTCTCTTTTTATCATATCCAAGCATAAGCATGGCCACAAATAAAAAATATCATTAGCATGTAGATCATCCTAACCTAGAAATATCTAGTGCCCATCACATCATATCATAGATAACATCATAAAAGAAAATATTATATAATAAAAAATCATAACAATCAAGTCATAACTACCAGCATACAGTAAAATTCATGGAAAACCTCATCACACAAATAAAAGAAATGAAAGAACAATGGACTTGCCTAAAACTAGGATTGGATGTCCTAATAAATTATCTAAAGTGTGTGTGTCATGCTATGTGGCTTGGATATGCCCTAAGCTGGGTTGTTGCTAGAGTTTTTTAGTGTTTTTTTTCTTTATTATAGGTCTAAAGGATTTGAATTTGAGTTTAAGCAATAGTATTTTAAAGTTCATTTTAGGATGATTTTATATTTATTGAATGATTATTACCTTTATTTACAGTAGGGTTATGAGTTTTATTTCACCCTTCTTAAGGCTAATTTAATAGCCCTTAAGGCTAATTACATAATAAGAAATCATAACAATATAATTGTAGTCAGGATTTGAGGCTATAATGTGAATTTTATTGCCAGTAGTAGAGAGGTGTAAGAGTTCATGAATGTCCTGATATGTTATCTCTATGGGTTTCTTTTTGGCATAAGATTGGAGAATAATACCCTAAATTTAGAGTTAAAGGGGTATTGAAAACTTAGAATGAAGGTGAGAGTGCTGTGAGCAAAGAGTGGCAACACTTGGAAGTTTAAATCTTCATGCTTGATGATTTTTAAAGTATTGAAGAAAATAGTTTTATACCTCTAATAGGCCTCTTCATTAGCGGTCTCATGGAATCTAGGATCTACAGGGCCTTAAGAGGAACTACCAACTAGTGTACAAGAGCATTTTCCTCCGACCATTATAAGAAATGTGAGCTTATAGAGAAGAAAAAGATTAGAATTTTAAAGATTTTGTGAAGAAAAGAATTGAAATCCCTCTGTTTAAATAGATTTGTCTTATCGTATAGTATGATCATGGGACC